ACATATATATCATACAGGTCCTATCAGTTAGTCCCTTGAAGATGGCAAGCGTTTGCCCTTGACCGATCAAACCAACTCCCTTAGAAAGTTTTTCTTTCAGCAATGCTATACAATAACGTGTTGCCATGTCGTTGCTGTTACAACTGGGACCTGCGGCCGCTTCCACCGCCATCGTTGAGACTCAAAGCTAGCCGATCAATAGCGGACATTGTTGATTTTTTCGGCTCGGCTACTGGCAAATAACATTTGAACTTCCTGATTCCACTTTATCATACGACCGTCCAATCGCCGCATCATCGCACAACTATCCTCGTACGTTCGATGGCCGATGCGTGATTCGCTGTTTTCGCCCCTCTGCAAGAGAGGGGTAAACAAGAAGTCTTCGCGGGGTTGCACTAAGGGAAAGCTGGTTCGACAATGACAAGCGGTGAAACGGTGTTGCAGTGCAAAGCATTGCCCTGAAAACGCTTATAAACGTCTGCTATCAGACTTCTTGTGCGGCTGCACACGGTCAAGACGTGACAACGGGGAGCATGATACTTGTTATACAGCTGTGTTTCGAAGGCATTAAGCCCCGCAGCGACAGAAGCCATTGGGGTTTGGTGCACGAGCAAAAATCATCAATAATTTTCGTGGCTACACAATTGGATGCCGTTGGCCTGCTAACTAGAGCTAGTAATGGTGACAGGAAATTTTGAGAGCTTCCAACGGATGGATAATATGCCATAGAAAGATCAAGACTATTTCGATTCTATGGGCGGCGGCCGGGCGAAATTTAACACACAATCGATTGTTTTTAATGTGTTTAACAAAGGAAGCCGATTTACTTCAGCTGGGGTGTGATCTTCTTGATCACTAACACAGTGATACTGTCGCAGACGGCAGCTAGATCTTTGTAGTCGTAACGTAAATGCCTATCACTGCTGGTGATGATCATTATAGAATAACGTTATCGAGGGATAGACCCAGAATATTTCATGTAAATACGGATAATTCATCACAAACGCGCATTTTACCTATACCTATCGCACCAACGACAACAAATGAATGATGCCTTAATATGCGAGTAAAAATTACCAGTACCTATTGACAGTCGTTCAAAGTAAGCGGAACTAGATCGATGATCTATAATCTTTGTCTGGACTTTATTGTAAGGTCTTTCTCCCATGTTATGAAATCCTAATTATCCTCCTCTACCACTTTTCTCTTTTAGATAAAAGAATATTTTGATGATTAACTTTTTACCTGACTCACGACAATGTTCGATATACATCAAAACGAGCCAACGTGTTTTACGTTGTTAGATGGTTCAGGTTTAGGTACTTCAACAACCTTGAAGTTTTAATAAACAAAAATTCACCATGACCCAAGTCTGCTAAACGAAAACTTAAGGCAACAAGTTAGTTTTTTTTCCTAACAACGGGTTTTATTTAACTATCGGTAACGATAAGTTGCGGTAAATAAATACAACTGAGTGACCCGTAGCAATTAAAGATACAAAAACTTACTCAACACACTGGGTTCGTTTGACGTGTGCCGGTCAAAATGTCCTTTCGTGGTATTGCCAGTGGTAACACAACTCATTTTTATGATAGCGTATTAGATTCACGGTATCTGTAATTAACTTCTTAACATATATCTATGTTTATATGTGTGCATAAACACTTCACCTTCTACTTGACAAGTAGTTGGCTACGGGAACGGACGAATCCTTGTAACAGACCTGCTCGATTAACGCAATATGAACGTCCAAACATTTCTGATTTCAGATCATTCCAAGGCGTTATAATGACGGTGCGAAAATATTCAGACAAAACTGTTACACTCTCATTTATTAGTACAATCGGAGTCTCAGCTACGGATGGATGGCGCGCTTATGTGTGGCCTACGTTGAACGCAAATCGATCACTTGTGTTGCCGAAAATCATCTTCTTGCCAAAAAAATCGAAGATTTCTGAAGTAGGCGGAAGTATATACGGTCGATTGTTTATATGATCGGGTCCATAGTGCGGAGAAGGGCGCTACATTTATCAGCTCGGAGCAGTAATTAATTGTAGTGGTGTTTTTGCGAGAGCCAGCGGAAAACGGGCCTGCTTCCCTTGCACCTAAAGAGTGCCATATACGGATAACATTATCAGTTGCCTTATTTATGGTAGTTATGATTTTGGAGGGTTGTGTGGTGACAACTTTTAGACGACAGCTAGCCAAAGCCAGCGAAATTATATTGCTTCAGTGGAAGACTGGTTTGTTCAGGCGTGTTTAATATACATTACATATTATAAACTCCCATATTCGTGCGTCGTTATCACTGCGGTATCCATTTGATGATTTTGACATTGTCAATCAGGTAAGACCTAAAGGCAAGGCTTGAAGGTCCATTTGTTTCAACCAACCTGAGTCGAGAATAGACACACGTAATGTCTTGGCAACAAACGTGTTAACGTTCATGTTGAAACGCTATTACTAGCAAACAACTTCTTCATAGCTTACTAAAAACCTTCAAATGCTGCCTTTGTATCAACCTGCTCAATTGGCATAACTGATTCTAATACACTTCCCGAACTCAGACTGTTGAGGAGTAAACACATAACACACGCTGCTCCGTACAACGCTGCGACATAATACAATTTTCAGGTAAGCTTGCGTTTACATAAGCTACTTAATGGCTATTGACGACAGTTCCGTAAATAACGTAATTCTACTTCTAGCCTCAGTCATCCGTTATACTTCATGCCTCCGCCTACAGTCCACTCGATCATGTCGATTTACCTCCTACTTAGTCAGCACGGATCTTGTCCACTATAATGAGTTCTGCCAGGAACTTTCTTTGTACACTGATGAATTCGTTCCGAAAGGAAGTTGACTCCCAGGCGATGCGCATCTCTACCACGCTTAACTATGGATAGCTATCGATCGTCCGTTTCGTTGTCCTTGTCTATGCGGCAATTTTCGTTATGCTGACTACCACGATTAGATCCCGCGGAGCGTCTTCTCCTAGGTAACTTTAAAATCATCGTTGCAACCTATCGCCATTGGCTTTCTTTAATTCGTCTGAATAGCCTAACCAGTTCTTCTGAAGAGAACGGCGTGAGACGTTATCCCAAGTTTCATAGCAGCTTCGACATGAGACAACGGAACGTCATCGACGAACGAGTCGTTGCTGAGGCGGCAGTGTTCTTACCGCATTCGTAATACAACTAGCTCACTTCATCATCGTATTACAGGTTAGCATGTCCATAGGTATTGTTTTGGTTCCATCAGCGTTATACCGCTCAACTTAGATACCAATACATAGTTAGGCAAGAGGTAGCCATAGATCCGTGTGGCCGAGATGCCGAGACCTTTTTCCTATGCTAGTCTCGCAATTACGTTATATGATACAGAGACCTTTACATAGCAGAAGCATCAATACCAGTCGCAGTCTCGTATACGGCGGCCAAGCGTCGCTCCGCAGGCAAACGAGCAGGTCGACTAATCATTGTCTACCCTCAGGAAACAATAACCCTCTTGACTTTCTCACCTGCCACATCTAGTTCACTGGTACGCGAACGTGATGAACTTTGCACCCTAACGCACGAGATTGTTTGGCTCTTCTACCAGTCGCTCGTTCTGCTCACCTGAGCGGCATTGAGTAAGAGTGTCGCTGGTAGAGCCGCTAAAACTGTTAAGCGCCAGAAGGGGCGTATCCCTATGGGACGCCGTGCCTCCATTTTGAGAGCCTGCCACGCCTTGGACGGCATCCAGTGCTACTCGCCGGCTACGCAAACGGGGAAAAAAACTCGACGCTTTGCAACCCTGTCGGCCACCGATGAACGTGGCCATTGCAGCTCACGCTGATTCTAGTATTGATATTCGCATTAGATATCTTGTGTTTGATCGGTATTTCCGTGCATCGTCAACTGGCTGGAATGAAGGCTGAAGATTATCGGAACAGCGTCTTCTCGGCTAAACGTCTTGAATCGTAGAGGTATTTCAATGTAGAGGGAAGCTGATCGACGTTTTGGACAGAGTTCAGATCAGATCAGATCAGATCAGATCAGCTCAGCTTAGCTTGGTGCGCGTGTCTGAGTGTGTATCGAATCGGCGCAAGTGTAAATGTGATAGAGGAATCGTACGATCGTGCGCTAGAAGCAACTTTATTACTGAAAGGTCCCGTTTTTCAAGCGGAGCGATAATTGGGAGACGAACATTTTGAAGAAAAAGGAATATCACAAAAGCTGTTACAATGAATAAAGGAACTTTAGCCCTAAAGATGGTGGCTTTCGGGATCAATTTGGTTATTTGGGTAAGTAGCTACTTATTCAAGTTATGGTCACGCTATCAAGGTTGCGCTTGAAATCGGCTAGATATTTAAATGAGCATGGCGATTCGCTCATGAGAAATATTGTGGAGCGCTACTGCCATAGAGGGAAGACAACTTCGCCATTCGATACCATCAGTTATGAATCAGAACCTAAGGGCTTTTGGTTCTCCTAGTTGAGGGTCACAATATAAAATCCTGAGTGTGTTCTCCGTACTGATTGTCAAACTCGAAACGATCTAGAGCATCTATAGTATAATAGCTTAACTTACCTGGGCATTGCTCATTTGCGTAGTGAAGACAAGCCAACTACAATGTAGTAATATGCAAGTCTCGCATCTTCCAACCTATCGCGGTCTGGATGATGTTTACTACAGCATAGCCTTCTTCCACGACGATTTCGGGTGTTGACCTAGTGGCTGACATGGGACATGGTGTTTGCCACAACCTAGCAAGCGTACGTGTGCCAAATGATCTAAACGAAGTGTGAGAATTTTGCGTCCGACAGAATTCGTCGCCTGGACACTTATACAAATATGCTGTATTTGTACCAGGGCATAAATATACCAGGGTAGAATAAAACAAAAATAGTCGTTATGATCAGCCGTACCTGCAACTGACGCGCAACGGACCACTTGCTAATTGTCCAGTTAGTTATATCGAATGGCTGCCAAATGAAAAAACTATATCAAAAAGCTCGACAGTGCCAAGTTAGTTACCAAATGGGCATGTTTTGAATATCTGGAAATATAACTAAAATGTCACATATTGACTATTCCGCCTTAGTAAAACAACTCTGCGATTGCCAAATCCCTTCTTCCTCGTTCGTGGCACCGCTAAGACTTACCAAATACACACCGATGTCTAGTTTTATCTAAATTTTATCATTAATCTAAAACAACTCGTTGAATAGAGACCCGTCAGCATGCAGCGGAAGTAAAATGTTCGCTAACGAGTGAACAATTCGTGAATAACTCGTTGTCTATTTTATGCGAGTGCCGAACGGGGTCTGTTTTTTCAAAACAAACCATATGGCGTTTGCGGTCCCATTTGATTGATGATCCATACTTGGCGCCCACACTGCGGCATCGTAGAGTGTAGCAGGTTCGGCTGTAGATGTTGTACGATTATAAAGATTTACTACTCAGTTTCTGTATCAAGACTCACCGATCAAATTTACTTTCAAAAAATCAAATCTAGATTACTATTATATGGACCTTAAATTTCGATTAGCAAACGAGCTGTAAGGTTCAACCTCAAACCAAGGCACAACGTTGTTGTGTTCGCAAATGAAATACGGTAAGTAAGTTAGAATTCAAATAGAAGTTACAAGCTCTACCTAGAAACGCCTCTTACTATAGCCTAAATAAATTGTTCGATTTTTATTTTCGTCGTATCTCTCCATGTAGCTGGCTCCCATCGGTCTGAAGCGCCCCTAGGGTTAGCATAGGGCAAATGCAGAGGGTATCGACATCAATCGTATTAGCAAAAGCCAACCTTCTTTTGTGGCTCGTGAAGAAACCATACTACTATTTTATAATGTCTAACAGAATAGGACCATCTGTACCCGAACGCAACATATTGACAACTTCTCTTGTCAATTAGTCCGCTGAAAGAACAGAGACAAATCGTGATGTCATACATACATACATACATCTGTGTATACATGTATAACGTTCTTATACAACTGTGTTAACCATATATACATATATGGGTTTATTCCTTAGAAATAGCAGCTGGGGCCCGTCTCTTGAAACACTGATATTCTTCGTTTGTCTATTTTAAGGCTGTTTGAGATGTAGAGCTTTTATTGAATCTTCTCAAGAGACAAAATCGTTCACTAGACGTTCGATTTTGTAGTTTGAATTGTAGTCGGAAGCTGAACTCGAATGGCCGGTTGCCATACACCACATACAGCTATATCTAACGGTATAGCGGCAAAGCTACCGATACTATAAAGCAGTAGACATACTGCTCCGTAAAAACTTCCAAGTTGTTTATTTACGGTAAAGAGAAAGATATAGGTCCGGATTACAAGACATAGCCGTAAAATATCAAAAGTGTTCATCGATCATTATTTCTCACAAAGACCACCTATGCTTTTACGAAGGCTCTTAATTAATGTGAATTTGACTTCTTTCTCCATGTGTTGAGCGTAGGGAATGCGAATATTTAGATCGAAAACAACAATCTCTAGAGAGACTGTTTCAGGTAGAGTGTCAACCATTGTCAAACGCGCCTCACCGTATCAATGTAAATCGTACATAATAACGTGGCTTTATTGAATGAATGAATCAAAGGAACAAAAAAAAAAAAGCTACCTAATCCATAAGTGTACATAAACGATTTTCCGCAAATCACAATTTGATTATTTCTCATTATATTATTATATCACAGTTTGACCGAACTCATATCAACCGAAAGAATATCAATTTAACTCAAGTATAAAAAAAAAACCTTAAATATAATTTCTTAATTATGAATCAACACTTTTCTCGGTCGCCATATGTCCTCCGTTGTTTTAATAGAGCTGTAAATATGATGCCAGCATATTGTACACGGTGCTTCCATTGCTAAAGCCCCATCCCCATTTTCTCGCCTCTCAGATCTTCATCGCTCCGAACTCAACTAGGCTTTCGATATGACTCTCATCGTAGCCTCTTGACCCAACAGAATTCACTAGGTCTAGTGGACAAAGAATTTGGTAACGCCGATTCGCTTGGATATTGCCTTGCCGTTACGGAGACGCCAAGCGTTGTTCCTTTTAGGATACATTTGTCAATCACTCCCCTTTACCAGCTAATGCTGAGTCACGAGACACTGGTCGTCCTTTGCTATTCTGTTCGAAGGCTTATCGGATCACCACACACTTTGCCATCAAATCTTGGAATGCCGACCTAAGACAAGCATTAAGTGTTCGCAACTGCAATGCGCCGCGTCATGATTTCCTGTCTTTTTCTAACTATACTGTTACGTAAGCTCAAGTTCCAAATGGCGCTGGAGCATGAGAATAAATGCATCGAAGACGGTAATTAATTTATATGTATTATGCGAGGTTTAATAGTGCTCGAAGAAGCTATCCATAGTTTAGAAAGATAGTCAACTTTCCTAACTGTTTTATAAAAAAAAAAAAAATAATTAAATAATTTGATTTGGAAAAATCGAACGCCATGTGATTTTCATCTTGATTTCGTTTTCGTAGATAATTGGCTTTTCCTTTGCTCGTTTTGTAAGAAAGGGAGCGAGAAAGTCCTAAAAAAATGTGATTATTTTCCAAAAACAGCGTCCTGACACCGTAACAGCTCGAAGGATAGAAAACGGGTCTTTGTTTCAAAGTGCTGGGATTATGTAATATTTAAATCTATAGTAAGACAGATCAGTACTGCTTGGCACGTCTAGCCGGGGCGACCACTCCATCCCATTGGCTCTACAGGTGTTTAGGAAAGCACTTAGTGAAAAGTTTGAACTTTTCACTAACTGCTTTCCTGAACAGTTTACGGGCTGGTCAATTTATTTCATAGTATCAGGCTTAGCTAAGGGACAACTGTTTCTGCCAGATATTTTATAGAATAACTGAAACGTTTTTTGTTACCGTCATCCAAAGGTGATCCCCTGTTAATATCACCATTGCTTAAACCTATGGGATCTTAATATGACCCAGTGAAACTTAGGGAATGAATTTGTTTGGACACGGGCGCCAGGCAGTCTACACGTACCATATTCACAGTATGAGCATAAGTTGTGAAAATAATTAATAGATAACAAATATATTCAAAGAAATAAACAGTATAGAAGATCATACTTATAATATTGTTACAAATTATCTGTCATGTCCTGTTGAAATGTAGTAAAAAAAATTAATAATACTGGCTTGCTAATAGACAGCTTCGATCCTACCCTACTACTACCCCACTCGATCCTACTTCGAAGTCAGCTACCCATGAAGTATAGTAAACAATCAATATCTTATAACGTATTGTTATCCACTGGCAAACTGGTCATCGTCATGAATCGATACTCGGCTTAAAACATTTCATAGGTTTATCTAAATCAGTCAGAAGTTTATCTAAAAATATTACACATTTGTTTGTATAAGTTACGCTACAAGTGACCAGCTGTCGAAACAAGTGTCAGTCGTTTAATCTCAGGCTCTCTTTTGATAAGAAAAACCTTAATTGCTAGTTACTACAATTCGTTGCAATACGTTAAGTTTCACTATAAATCACGATCATCCTCCACTATTTACATCGAAGACCTGTACGTCGTCTGCTATAGAGTGGGTAACTGCAATCAATCGCTCATTTACTTTAACGCCCCCGCCACGTTTGTGTAACCTGCCAAAACTAGCAATTAGAAAGCAGTTGAAAATGTCGCTTTTACTATCGTATGTTTATTCCCAAGTTGACAAAAACGGCGTCCCTACCTAGTGATTTGTGTTAGGAGAGGGTGTCCTTCTCTTGAATGGAACCTCAGACTAAAGCCTTCCTAACTCTATGGAAGACCCGACTTGTTAATTTATGAAGTACGTAGGGGGCGCAGGGGCTGCTGGATGGTTCGGCAGAGAAGGTCGCAAAATTACTAGTTAATTGGATCATACTGACACATTGAGCGTCCGTCGGCCTTATAAACGGCATAAGGATAGCATTCATACCAGTGATATTGAAAAGTGTCAAGGTTCTTTACGAGTCGATGAGTGAGGCAAACTAATTTTTGCCTTTCACAAGCGCCATCACATGCGGGCTCTAAGAAGTAGGTAAATTGCAACTTATGAAGGGCTTTTGTGGTACACTGTTGACAAGTGGTACGTTATATGAGTGCAGTGCTTGAGAATGGTGGCAAAAATAGGCTGTCGTCGGAAAAAATGAAAAACTGAGGACATATCATTTTTAAATTGACCGCTACGCATGCGTGTAGACCTACCGTCGATAGCTTCAACTGCTGAAATATCATAAGAGGCATTGGAACAACTGTCATAAAAAATATCATAGGACATCGCTCAGATGGAGGCCATTAAATCCGGCTTTTAGTTCAACATTTGATTTAGTAACAACTATTTGCATCAAAATGGCGTAACTAAGGAAAAACAAAAGAAAAGCAGTATAATAAGCCCTGCAAACAATTCGCTGGAAGAATCATCTGCTATTATTATGAATGATGTCCAACTTCGTTTAGCGATCGTCCTGGCGATGACGCACGGACGGACGTCACAAGTACAAACTTCAGAATCGACTTCAAATCAGTCGAAATAATGCTTGCCTATATATCTGTAGCGTACACGCGAGAACTAACCTCCATTAACAGTATCATTATTATTATTATTATTATTGTCATTATACATACGGCCACGATATATTTATTTCAGGCTATAACACGCGTTATGCGGGTGATCGAGTTTTGATCGTGTGACCTGAAAAGGGACCATTTTGAAAATGTCAGTCACATCAGTCCACACACACACACACAGAGACGCCAATTATAAGAGAGTTTGTGAAGACATATATCTGCTAATATATAATTGCTAACTGAATTATCTGTTGATCGCTTGACCGCGGTGTAAGTTTCTATGATGCGAACGGCTTCAGAGACTAAAGGCAATCACGAAACGGGGGCAGCTAAGCCTGTCTAAATGAAGACCAGGTGTTCACGATCGAAACGGCGAATATTTAAGAAATGTTTTGATTCTCGCACAGAGGTTGCCATCTTTGTCTCGTCACTGGTAACAACAGGCATCTTAACCTGCTAATTATGGTTAGTTGTGCAGACTACAGTTTGCTATCATGCAGAATAGGTCTGTTTTGGTGTATAGCTTTGAATTTATTTCCTTTCTATGCAGGTATTGTCTTTAGAAGGATTCATTTTCGAATTCAACAGGTCACAAACGTCTCCGAAAGAGTGTTCTGGTTACGTGAATGTATACTATTTTGATGTATAGTATATAGATTAGTGAAGCGTCTCAGGTTCGAGACCGAGCGTAGGTATACTTCCTTTTGCGCTGAAGGAAGCTAGTCGTGTGAATGCCTGGCGGCAGTACTGCACATAAAACTCAAAAAATTAATTTCAAAGAAGAAAATTGGATGGCTTAATTCAAGACAGACAAAGTAACTTACAGACAACTTGGCAGGTTTTTAAGGAATAAAAACTGCACGTTATAATGTATCTTGAATGAACGTGAGCTGAAAACAACTATCTGCTAATCACGTTTCTATCTGTTTCAGTTACTTGGTCTCGTGCTTCTCTTCGTTGGAGTCTGGGTTCGAAGTGACCCAAATTTTTGGGAATTTCAGAACAATCTTCCGTTGGAAAACTACTACACTGCTTGCTACCTCTGTATCTACGCGGGAGCATTGATGCTCGTAATCAGTTTTATGGGCTGCGTTGGAACGTTTATCGATAGTCCCTGTATTCTTTGGACCGTGAGTGTTTTTTTTTTATTGATTTATTTGTATCATTACTGCGCGTTTCGGTATATTTAGGCCTAACCTTAGTTAGCAATACGGGCGATTCAAGACCAGTTTTCTGAAAAAAATAGAATAAAGCATATCGATTGGAAAGGTCGGAAATTAAATCAAAGGCCCTTCAGAGGTTAAGTTCTGCTTTTGAGCCTTGCTACATGTCCTATGTGCCATCAGATCACTGTGATTGTCCACCGCTGTTAACGTTTGCATGAAACTCTGTGTACAAATTGTAAACTATTGCTAATATCGTAGATTTTGGTATACTTTGTTCTGAAAGAACTTTCTCCAGGACCACAGCTGTATTAGGTATCAAGCCAACCTAGGTTATTATTCCCTTTTAGCATAATTATACTAGTTAGAGTTGAAACGAGTAACTGCTGCTGATTAGTTTCTTATCTATTCAAATACATATTTCAAGGTTACTATTGGTTCAGGTTAAATAACTTATAGGCTTCTATAAAACATGCAGTGAAAACTAAGCTACTTCGTAACTTATCATCGAGTTGACCTGCATACAATAGCAACTTTGCGGTGTTTATGGTTACATGCTGTGATGTTCAATCGGCGATTGCCCTTATTGGCAGCTAGAGATGAAAGTTACTGTTAAACGAAGCTTACATGGATTCTGCATAACCGGTTATACTATTAGATTTAACAACGATTGTTGGAGTTTTCGATTTTCTCCCTGAATGTAAAAGTAACCACTCCCGCTACTACGACTCGTAGATAAACTTTCTCGACTTACCGATTTGTTCCAAGCTCCGACTCGCTGGAGTTCTAACTTACCCTCTCAGCAGGCACGTTCTACATATATATATACGACGTTTCTACATACATATATATATACGTTTCTACATATATATA